ATATTATATACAAACAATATTTATATAATTATATTCATTTATATAACTAATTAATATAATATAATATATACAGTATTTTTATAATGTTTATAATAAAAATGTTATATATAATAAATTATATAGATAATTGTATATTAATAATGTATATTATTTATATTATATAATAATACATTGTTCTGCTTAAGATGTTTACCACTAGCTTCTGTATTTATGCTATTGTTGTAGGTAATTTTTAAATATTCTGAACAAAGTGTTACAAAAAATGTGTTTATATCCAGTTTACTACATTAAAAAAAGTGATGTGGAAATTCTAATACCATCCTAATGTTCTTACCTCTGGTGCTGTGTTTAATCTGAATCTAACAACTGAATATATGCACACAGAATTGTGTTTTACAACTCCTTTAGGACCAAATAATGATTCCAGTACGTCTTTTTCCCCTTGCAGGTGGTGACGGATGTTGGCGTTCACTTGCAGAAGCTCTCCATCAATAACGAAGGCACCAAACTGATGGTTCTGAACAGTCTGAAGAAGATGGTGAACCTGACGGAGCTGGAGCTGGTGCGCTGTGATCTAGAGCGGATCCCGCACTCCATATTCAGCCTGCACAATCTACAGGTCATCTCAGTCATCTTTCATCTAGCTGCACAAAACTCTGCGTATAATACCTTTGCTTGTGCCATAATGCATTTTCCATGCATTTCGAATTTTTGAACTCTGCATCATCAAATTAGGTATATATGTTATGCTATGCTAGGTTAGGTTAGGTCTTTTTTGCCATTTTTTTAAATGATTCAAGGTTGTGTAATTATTTGCAATGTAAATGCAAGTAAAAGCATATTGTTGAGTGTCTTTAACTTGCTGCGTTGTATAAATATTGTACATTTCTTAATGCTTTGGCCACAGGTATTTTCATGCTTGTACAAGCCGCTTGGGCTCTGTTCACGTATTCTGTCATGCACATCAACTTCTGTCTGTAGGAGATCGATCTAAAGGACAACAACTTGAAGACCATCGAGGAGATCATCAGCTTCCAGCATCTCCACAGACTGGTGTGCCTCAAGCTCTGGTATAACCAGATCGCCTACATCCCCATCCAGATCGGCACCCTCACCAACCTGGAGCGCCTCTACCTGAACAGGAACAAGATCGAGAAGGTTCCTGCCCAGCTCTTCTTCTGCAGGAAGCTGCGTTACCTGGACCTCAGCCACAACAACCTGACCAGCATCCCTGCAGACATCGGCTTCCTGCAGAACCTGCAGTACTTTGCAGTGACAGCCAACAGAGTGAGTTGAGCATAAGTGTGCAGACTTGAACATACACGTCACCTCATGTTCCTGTGAGATCTCATCAGACGCTGGTATTTGAGTTTTGAATCTTTTCCTGGAAAGCTGGAGATGTACTGTTATTATTTTTATACTATTATTATTTTTAAATCTTACAGACTCCAAACTTTTGAATGGTAGTGTATACACACACACACACATACACGTGTGTGTGTATATATATATATATATATACGTGTGTGTGTGTATATATACACACACATACACGTGTGTGTGTGTATATATACACACACATACACGTGTGTGTGTGTATATATACACACACATACACGTGTGTGTGTGTATATATACACACACATACACGTGTGTGTGTGTATATATACACACACATACACGTGTGTGTGTGTATATATACACACACATACACGTGTGTGTGTGTATATATACACACACATACACGTGTGTGTGTGTATATATACACACACATACACGTGTGTGTGTGTATATATACACACACATACACGTGTGTGTGTGTATATATACACACACATACACGTGTGTGTGTGTATATATACACACACATACACGTGTGTGTGTTATTTAAAATAGTATTTATTTTAAATATATAGATATATATATATATATATATATATATATTAATTAATATGTATAATAAATAATAATAATACTTTTTTCTGATGCTTTAAAGTTTTTTAACACTTCAGTACATGTTCCTGGTCTTATTGTGAATGATTCCTCAGTGCATGTTACACCAAAGAAGAAAATGTTTTCATAATCTTTTATTATGTACTGACTTGCTCACATCTGAATTAACTTTTCGGCTGGCGTCACTTAAGCTGCGCAGACATATTGATTAACGTCGCTCATTAGCAAAATAGCCATTTAGTCATCGTTTTGGCTTACTGTTGCAGGTAACGCATCCTTTCTACAATCATTGCAACACAGCCATGTAATGCCAGTTAATGCTAATTAAATTACAATTATGGCAATCATAGCAAATATTTTTGAGATATGTAATATAAAATAGCGCGTCGCTGGTGTTTCAGGATGAGAATCCTCTACACTCCACTGCAAACTCACAGTGCCAGTGACAATGTGTCAGAAAGGCGGCTCCAGTTGTGCTTTCGGAAATTCTGTTTGCTGCATTAAAGCCTGATTTCTCAGCAGCTCCAGTGTTTCCACACCCTCGAACTGCGTCTTACGCATACCTATCCAGCAGACCGCCATCAGAGCTTTCTCTGGGGCGTAAGCGGCATCAGATGGCACCATTGTTTTGTTCAATCTGGATTCTTTGGATGTGTGTCAGATAAGGAAACCGATAAAAGTGCTGAACATTATGATGCACCACACACAACCTGTCTCTGATGTGTTTTGAGTTTGACATGCACTTGTGGTTGTTTTTAGTAATGTGCGTGTTGGAGAGTGTGTGTGTGGCATGTTTCTGAAAATAGCGGGTTTATGGGACCTCCTGTCGAGGAGTGTGTGCATTTGTACACACACACAACCTTCCCGGATCCTTCATTAGCTCGTTATTATCTAAATGAGTTGTGTAATTTGTGTTATTTGTTGAGAGTCAAGGCGGACCATAACTAGATGCACATGTTTGCTTTTTTTGGAGCATGTGTGTGTGTGTGTGTGTGTGTGGGCCAAAATTAGCCACTTACTCTGGAGATAATTGGTTTTCCTGTGTATAATATGTTTCCTGGGTCTCCACCCTGCCGAGCAAGTGGCTTTAAATGGGGCCCGTCGTTTATTATGGATGGATTATATTACACAGCTCTCTGGAATACTTGATTCTGATTGGTCAGTCGTGGCATTCTGCAGTCAAATATTGTAGCATTATGGTGGTTAAACTGGATAACTGACCGTTTTGCTACACAAACGATTGCCTGCGTGGCTGTGCTGGTTTTGGGTTTCTCACCAATCAGCTGGTCGTTATCGCAAAATAAACCCTGAGCAAGACACCTGATCACCTGACTGATCTCTGACGGTACATTATCCATTACATACTGCACAAAACACACAGATTGAATGACTGAATGAACTGAAATCAAATGAAGACTTATTTTACATGATTTACTCCATTAACAAAACTAACTGAAAATAGTTTATTAGCTAATGAAATAAAAACTAAATTGCAATATGACTAAGTATGATTTATCAAATAGCAAAGACTACAATTTAATTAAATATGTTAAATATTTTTATTTAGTTAAGTTAATATTTTTTGTTAATAATGCTACTAATAATTAATTAAATTAATAATAATAATAATAATAATTATTATTATTATTATTATATAGCCTTATTGACATTGATATAAATCAGGGTTATTATAGTTAACTGAAACTAAAGCTGAAATAAAATCCATAAAATAAAATAAAAACTTAAACTTATTTTATTTCAGCTAAAAATAAATAACTGAAAAATAACAAAATCTGAAAAAAACGTTACAATTAAAAATAAAAACTCAAATTATGCTAAAATAGCACTGCTACAAACAAATACAACGAACCACATTTTAAGTTGCAATTGCAGTTTTTATAAAATACATATTTTAATTTTAACTACATTTTCATAAACGCACGTATAGTGTTTATCTTACTTTCTGTCTATAGATTACATTTTACACACTACATTTAAAAATTTTTATAAACTACATATTTTCTTGTCAAAACAGAAAAATTTAATGCATGTAATAACCTTTTATTGCAGAAAAATATTGTTCTTCAGAAACACAGAGACCTGTGCATTATACATAAGGGGAATATTTTATTTATTTATTTATGTATTTATTTTGTGGTTTTAATAAATGTTATGTACAATGAAGTGTTTGTTTTTTTATTTTCTGTCATTAGATTACACTTTACACCCTAATTAACGAGAATCATATGGCAGAGCTTGTGTGTTAACCATGTTTTTCTCTGTTTCAGATCGAGACGCTGCCACCCGAGTTGTTCCAGTGTAAGAAGCTGCGGACGCTGAATCTGGGAAATAACTGCCTTACGGTGCTTCCGTCACGTTTCGGAGAGTTAACCGGCCTAATGCAGCTGGAGCTCCGCGGGAACCGGCTGGAGGGATTACCGGTGGAGCTCTCCGAATGTCGCCTTCTCAAGCGCTCCGGGCTGATCGTAGAAGAGGATCTCTTCAACACCCTGCCGCCGGAGGTCAAGGAGCAGCTGTGGAGAACCGATAAAGAACAAGCCTGAGCGAGACAGAGGAACTCTTAAAGGCACAGTTCACCCAAAAATGAACATTTGCTGAAAATGTACTCACCCTCAGGCCATCGAAGATGTTGATGAGTTTGTTTATTCATCTCAACAGATTTGGAGAAATGTAGCATTCCATCACTTGCTCAGCAATGGATGCTCTGCAGTGAATGGGTGCCGTCAGAATGAGAGTCCAAACAGCTGATAAAAACATCACAGTAATCCACACCACTCCAGTCCATCAGTTAGCTTAATACTATATTGTGATGTTTTTATCAGCTGTTTGGACTCTCATTCTGACGGCACCCATTCACTGCAGAGCATCCATTGCTGAGCAAGTGATGCAATGCTACATTTCTCCAAATCTGATGAAGAAACAAACTCATCTACATCGTGGATAGGCTGACTTGTGAGTAAATGTTCATTAAATTTTTACTAAGTGGTCGTTCTGCTTTCAATTATTTAATTTTTTTATATATAATTTTTAATTCTTTTTATTTGGGCAATAATGTTTCTTGTCCGTATGAAGGGAAGTTGTGGACAGTACAGTGCCATCTGTGCTTAGAAACATACACTCACTCAAACAGTTTTTGCAAGGTCAAGACATTCATGTACTGCCCCCTACAGGCACGGAGAGGCATGCATATAAAGGACGACTACATGGTGAACATGTGGATGCCAGTGCCTATGTTAAAACAGTGGCATTATGGGAATGAAAAGATATAACAAGCAATATGTGGTTTGTGCATTATTTACTCAGCGGCTGCGTCCAATCAGGGAAGAGTCGACTGTTTATGAATGTGCCAGCTGAGTTAGAGAATATGTAAAATGACATTTTAGAGCCAATACCCACAGAAATAAATGCCAAAAAGGTCATATACAAAATCTACTACTTATATATGCTTTTAAAGACTATGAATATGACGCCATAAACGTCTTGCTGAAATCTTACACTCAACAGACTTTACACAAAGATATAGAAACTACAAACTCAAACACTCAAACGAACAAACTTTTGCCATTTTGGACGGAGTTGCATTTGGATCAGGTGACCTGCACGTTGCACCCCATTGGTCGACTTCTCAAAGGGAATGATGACATCATAATGACCACACTATCATGGCCTTAACTCACTCTGAGCTGTATGCTGGAGCTCATCTCAAAGATAAAAGTGTACATTTTGCGTTTATAAGTTTTATAATTTTACAACAAAAAAAAAATAAGAGAAAGAACAAAAAGCACGGACTCATGCAAACTGTTTGTATGTTTGCAAGAAAAACAATCCTATGCGTTAAAGTATCTTTTTTTATATGTATGTGTTCATATGATTTTATTTTATGATTTTTATTTGAACTTTTCTTTTTGTTCAGAAGTTTGCCTAATGTATGCAATATGGCTTTAAACAAAACCAAATAAAGACTTCTGATAACCATTCAAAAGTGTTTTCATATGTTTCTTACGTCACACACATGGGTTATTCTCTGGAAACTGTGCCGTTGGTGCCTGAACACTTTATATGTTTTATTTTTAAGCATTTGCTACAATTGGTTTTGCATAACACAGGTTAATTCAGAAATTATTGGGCTAGATGATGCCAATATAAAAGTAAATAATATAAAATGGAAAAGGAGAAACTTTTGTCTAATCTGTTGCTTTTTGTCTAAAGTCCATAATCCATAATATTGTTTCCTCTTACATCACAATCCACCCACATATTTGTTTAGAGCTGTTTTTGACTATTTTGGCTTGTAAACAGTGCTTAATCTGTGCAGATTTCTCTGCTGATTCAGTCCAGATTACTTTTTCACTGCAAAAATCAATATTATGGATTATGGACTCAATAAAGACATTAACTGATGGACTGGAGTGGTGTGGATTATTGTGATGTTTTTATCAGCTGTTTGGACGCTCGTTCTGACGGCACCCATTCACTGCAGAGGATCCATTGCTGAGCAACTGATGTGATACATTTCTCTTCTTGGATGGCCTGAGGGTGAGTACATTTTCAGCTAATTTTCATTTTCAGGTGAACCATTCCTTTAAATATAATGGTGATTGGATATATGCAAATTGCCTGATTCTGATGAAAAACTAACATTTTATAGTAGCTTTAGTCATAAAATTCATATTGCATTATGCACTAAACACTATCAAATTTATCAATTAATGTGACCAAGTTCAAAATCATTTTCATAATATGAAGTCATAGCCACATGTGGCATTGTTTTCTGAAAAAGACCCGTAGACATTGACACATAAGTTCTTAAGTACCACACACACACACACCTTGTGTCGGTGAACACTGGGCCTTTCTTTCTGTTTTCCGTGAGTAAAAGCGCCACGCCACATAAAAGCTTCCATTCACTCTCTCTCTCTCTCGTTCTCTCTGTCAGTGAAGTAATGGTCACTTCCAACCAGAAGGCAGCCAGTTAAACCAAACCACAAACTCTTATGTTAGTATGCACTTGAAACTTCTTCAAACACTGTATACATGAAAGTCAGCAAGTCTGAATGTTGCACAGCCATCATAAATTTATAGTGACAAGAAGGTGTTAATGGAGAACCACTGTCCCGTTAACTGGAATTCTGTTAACTTTTGTCATGTTCAAATGTGTGCAAGATTAAGTGAATTGTTTAGTATTCGTCAAATATAAGGGGCCGGAACTGTTTGGCTCTCTAAAGTTTTCCAGCTCATTTGAGATTAGACTCGTTTGTTACTTAATGCAAACACCCAAACTGCTAGATCATCATCTCTACTAGCTTTTGCTTCCTCCATATCCTCAGTGGTAAAGGCTCTGAGAACAAAATGCTTCATGTTGACTATCTGTGTGACACAGGCACCCCTTGCGGGTATAGAGACAAAATGCACCATAAAAGTGCTACTTAATTTATAGAAATAAAAGTTGCTTTTTTTTCCTTCATACAATTGATTTTTATTATTATTATTATTATTATTATTTATTCAATGTCACAAGAATAAGAGGTATTACATATTCACATAATTAACAACAATTGCTGCCAGAAAAAAGTCACATAAATGTAAGCGCTTTTAAAACATTACGTTTTCAGTGCATTTTTGTTTTTAGTTTGTTCCAAAAAGTTTATGTATAATTTAATGTCTTTTAAGAAAATGCAAAAAATTTGTTTGCAAAGAGCCAACTTCTTTGTATGTATATTATTTATATCTTCTTTTGTGTTTCACAGAAGAACAAAGGTCATAGAGGTGAGTGTGAGTAAATAATGACAGAAGTATTATTTTTGGGTGAACTATCCCTTCAAATACCAGCTGAAAACACTTCTTTCTTATACCTTTGTTTAATGATTAAAACAGAGATTGATTCAGAAATAGAGTTTGCACACACTGTATTAGTTCATTAATATGTTTTATAATGCACTAAAATAACTAAATCTGTCATACTATTCATTTGGGGTGTGAATCCTAGAAAAACTAAGATGTCAAGCACAGTATTAATGATTAGACCATTCACATAGATGATACATTTTGACCAACTTTATAAAAGTGAATGTAAACTAAATCCAGATACAATTTTCAAAGCTTGAATGTGTTTTGTGAAGTCTTCTTCAATACTGTGTTCACTACATGCAATCTTGCATGTAATACTCTGCCAGACAAACAGATTTCCATCCTCTGCAGGAACAGAGGGTGACCTGTGTTCACTCTTTATCTGGAATGAAGTTTATTGGAGGCACATGTTTACCTTTTAGGTTCACCTGCTGACTACATTTGAGTTGCTTGCAATGCAATGTTAACTGTAGGCACGTTTTTACCTTTTAGGTTCACCTGAACCCTCAGTCAGTTATGACTGCACATTTGAGTTTCTTGCACTGTCATGAAAGAGTTACTGTTCAAAATCCAATTATTGCATCACCATGGTTACAGTTTAATCGTATTTGACATGGGGCAACCACGTGGTTGCTTAGAGCGAGCGAGAGAGAGAGAGAGAGAGAGAGAGAGAGAGAGAGAGAGAGAGAGAGATTTGGATGGGACAGCCTTCCTCGTAGACTTCTTCTCAGACTGTCTTCATCAGCATGGATGGTTTGACAGATCAAGACGTGCAAAAGGTAAGAGACTGCATCTAAATTGCTATCGCAACTCTTAAATACGACAGGTATCGTGTTTTTTATGCACCCGCTGAAAAGCGCATGATTTACGAGTACAAGATATTTCAGTGCTGTTAGATTGCAGCGTTTTGCTTCTTTATAATAAATGTTTTCATAAATCAGCGCCTCCGTGCAAAAGGTAAGAGACTGCATCTAAATTGCTATCGCAACTCTTAAATACGACAGGTATCGTGTTTTTTATGCACCCGCTGAAAAGCGCATGATTTACGAGTACAAGATATTTCAGTGCTGTTAGATTGCAGCGTTTTGCTTCTTTATAATAAATGTTTTCATAAATCAGCGCCCCGTGCATTCGTGCAAAAGATGCACGAAAAAAAAAAAAAAAAATCGTGATAGCACGTGTGGAATAACTGATCTAAATGTGAAGTCAGTTGCGTAATTCGCTGGTAGAACGGAATGTGGTATAATAAGAGGGGCGTGGAAATGGGCGGGGCCTGCAGGAATGGAAGTCGTTTCCTATTGGCCGGGACGAGGGGTCTAAGTAATAATTTCATATTTTAACTTTTCAGTGTTTTCATAGTTTGACGACTACTAGTACATGGTATTAGCAGTAGCAGCCGCAACAGTATACCGTCTATTTATTATTATTATTATTATTAATATCCAGACGCGTAGACTTGTTTTTCATGTGAGATCTGTTACTTTTCTCAGCGCTGTTAAGGAAGGACTAATCACAGTTTTTTTTTGATCACTTGGATAATACATTTTAGTCTACAATTTGTAAAGATTAATGGGGCGGATTTAAAATTTGTATATCAGGAACTAATAATTAAAATTAAGATGTTTCTAATTTAGAATGTATGTAAAGCTGACCTATAGATGTCTAGATGTTTGTACACATGCTTTCCAGATGCTATCTGGGACAAGGATGGAAATACCACAGTACATTTAAACATAACGTGAATCTGAATAACTGGTATTACATGGAATTTACA